CCGGGAGTAATGGGGGAGGAGGAGGCGGAGGGGGATGGGGATAGGGATGGCTAGGACCCGCCGTCTCCCAGGCCCCAACACGTGAAAGGGCCCCAAACAGTTGCAGCTTCACTCAGGAATGACTAACCACTCTTACTGAGAAGGCGTTTGCAGCACACAATACGTCTGGAATAAAGGCAACAGAGATGAAGTCTGCATGGCCAGACACCAAAGGGTTAATTAACTATGATGCAGTTGGGTCGATTATTATGTTTTCCTCTAGGTGCTATGTCTGTTATTTCCAAATTCTGTGCATCGAACAATTAAAACATTTATAATAATCAGACAAATGTTAATTTATTTGTAATCATTGAATAAAAAAGCAGCAGCAACTGGAATACGCTGAAGAGCCCTGGACTTGGAGTAAGGACTCCCAGGTCAAGCCCATTGTCTTCCCAGTTGCGCACCTAGGGCAAGTGACTTCCCCTCTTTGAATCTCAGTTTTCTCTAAAATGGAAATAATTGACCCCACAGGGGTGGCATAAGATTAAAGAGGTAATGGATGTGAAAAATGCTTTAAAAAAAAATGTTTATTATGGAAATTTTTAAACATATACATAAGTAAAGAATACATTATAATGAAGCTCCATGTACCCACCTTCAACAATTATCGTCCTATTCAATTTCTATCGCCCATCCACTTCCCCCCCAACCCCCACTGGAATATTTTAAAGCAAATCCCACCCAGACATTTTCTTTTTTTCCCCACAAATACTTCACTATTGAAGTGCTTTATACTTGTTTCACAAGTAAAGCATAATACATGATGACTGTAGAAAATTTAGACTATGAAGAAATCATGTATAAAGTTGAAAACAAAACTCACTCATAACCCCACCACCCAGAAACAACTACATTTTGAAGTAGTCTGTTATTTTTTCTATGCACATATTCATTTTTTTTCTTGATTTCGCAGCATTTGGAACACATTCATTTTTAACAAGAGCGAGATAACATTGTGTATGCTATTTTTAGGTATCGTTTTCTTTTAATTGTAAAAATAATAAAATCATATTATAGAAAAATAAAGAAAAGAAGGAAATTACCCACAATCCCTTACCACCTAATATTAAAAACTTAATACTTTAGTATACTTTGTTCCCATTTTTTTCAATTTATATTCATAATTTTAACTCAAGTGGGATCCTCCTGATTATGCACTTTTAAAATCATAAATCTGTTTTAATTATAAGAAAATAATATGATTATATATTTTAAAAAGGAAGAGAAAAATACCACCCATAATCCCACTACTCAATTATAATAATCATTGTTAACATTTTGGTGTATTTCCTTCCAATATTTTTTCTGTGTACATACAATTTTAACAAAAGTGGGAATGTATTATTTATGGAGTTTATTAACTATAAATTTATATTTACTCATAAGACGAATATTGTATAACATGGAGAAAAGAGAAAAAATATCCCTCATAATCTTACCACCTTACTGGCACTGTTAGCATTTTGCTGTTTTCCTGACCGTTGCTTTATACACATATTCATACAGGGTTGGAAACGTAGTGGGTATTTAATTTTGTACTCTTTTGCCCTTTGCAACTTGGTATCATATTTATGCAACTTTGTACCCAGCATCTTTTTATTTAGTATTTTGTTGTGAACATTTTCCCATGAATAAAGAGTTTTTTAAATCAGGATTTTTTTTTTTAATTTCAAAATATCAAGGGAATACAAATGTTTTTGTTGCATGGTGTGTGTGTGTGTGTGTGTGTGTGTGTGTGTGTGTGTGTGTGTGTGAAGCTACCAAAGGACACTCCCTTACCATGGACATTTAGGTTGCTTTTCATTTTTCACTATTATAAACAATTCTGGTCCAAGCATTGTTGAACAAAAACGTGTGCTTTTTCACTTTTCCACACACATATTGAGTATATGTTTCTGGAGACTACTCCATAGGTTTATAGGCTGACCTGTGAAAAGTGGCCATCTTTTATTGGTCCCGAATTTACTCCCCTCACATGGCTCAGGCAGCCCTGAGAACAAATCTGCATTTTCCTCTCCCTCCCCTTCTGAATTTATAGACTTCCTTCATCTCCTCTCAGTCTGTTTTTTAAATTAATCAGTCAGCTAGTATTACAGAACCCGAAGCGTGTGAGCTGAGGCAGAGATAGGAGGCAAAAAGAAAAGAATCAGAAGGCCCAGGACAATACCCGCATTTATTGGCCACCTACCACACTGTGGGCACCAAACAGGCTACCCCTTTCCTTCTGATTGTTACAACAGCTTCACAGGGTGAGTTCTATTGTTATCCCCATGTAACAGATGGGAAAACTGAGGCCCAAAGAATGAAGCCACTTTGCCGAAGACCACATGGCTAGTAAATGGCAGAATAGGTATTTAAACCGAGGCCAGACAGACTCCGGAACGTACATTCTAGCCGCCCTCCTTACCCTCCGGCAGCGGGAGATTAGGGGTGAGAGTAAAGACTGTGCAGTCAGTCTGACCCGGATTCAAACACCCAGCCACGTGGCTGTGTGAACTTGGGCAATTCTCTGAGACTCTGCTTCGCCTTTGGTAAACCCTACCTCACAGAGCTGTCCTGAGAATTAAATGAGATGACGAATGGGAACATGCCAGGCCCAATGGTGGCATACAGAAAGTTCTTGGTGGGTGACCATCCCAGTCCTTTGCTTGCTTCGCAAGCTCGCGGGCTAGTTGTCAAGTTAGAGATAAGAGTTCAGTGGAGAGCTCTGAGCTCGCCTGGAGCAGCCTGGAAAGTCAGTGATCAGGGCATATTTACCGAGAAATGCAAATGTCTCTTTTGCTCCCTCTCAGCCTCTGCAACTAATCTCCTCTCGCATTTCCCCCAAAAGGAAAGGGGTGGCTTTTGTGCTCCAAAGCTGAGTGCTTGAAGCCCCTCTCTTTCCTGCTCCCCGGGAGGTGGGCAATGGAGATGACAGGAAGTCACCAGTGGGGAGGCCCTTTCTGGCATGTGGGCACAGAGAAATGTGGCGGAGGGCGCTCCTTTTTCTGCCCTTCAATGGTCCGAATGGGGGAGGGGGCTGGCTGTTGAGCAACTGCTCCGGAGACACTCCAGAAGCCGAGATGAACATATGCCTCTTTCTAACAATTGGCCTGGGAGCCATCCAATAGCTGGAGGGCGGATCCGCACCGCCCGGATCCGGAGCCTGCAGCGGAGACGCTGCCGCGGTTTCCATAGCCGCTCCTGAGCCCGGGCTATCGGGGAGGGTAGGTCAGGGGTCCAAAATTGGCAACGTACCATTCGAAAGCCTACAGCTGCTCCTTCTCCACCACAGAAACATTTTTTTCCATCCCAGGCAAATACCAAGAAGGCTCGAGAGTGCATTTCACATGCTAACCCAGTAGCAGGGCTTTAGGGTCCCGACAGATCCCGCCTTTTACCAGAGGGAAACTGCGCAGGGCCCACAATCTTGGAGCAAAGTGAGAAAGTGCAGCGATGACGTGTGGGGTGTAGTTGTTACCAGGGTTTGCGTTGGGGCGGGCTAGGGGGAAGGAATGGAGACGAGGTAAATCCATTCCCCAGCTTTTGGGGCCGGAAAATGGGTTTTCGTGTCCAGGGCATTTCCAGATGCCCAGGAAGGGCCTTGAGCGGTCCCTTCATTTGCTCCCCATCTTTATGTCAGTAAGCCGGTTAGTCCGTCAACAAACAGAACTTTGTTAGAAGAGCAAATGCAGGGCACTTGGGGCTACTAAAAAAAAAAAAAAGAAAAAGATCTTCAGGTCTTCAAATCCAATTAAGAAGACAGAACACATACGTAGTGAAAATGACTTCATGACTCCCCCCCCCTTTTCTTAACATCAGGACCTTTTTTTAAACAGCGTGTTTTATAAACGGTGTAAACTGAGTAGCTGTTGCTGAAAGGCAGCAATAAGGGGGGGGGGTGGAGTTTGATAGGGGGTAATCCTGGTGGCCTTCCTGTAAGAGGTGAGGTGGGAATTTGTTGGCCACCAAGAACAAGAACTGAGATAAGAGAGAAGACCCAGACCTCTTTTCAGCAAGGATTTGTAAGATAACATCCCATCCCAAGAAAGATGTGCTCCAAATGCAAAATGTTATTCTTGCTAGATGGGAATGATTATGTAATCATAATAAAGTAACCTGACATCGTGAGAAGGCAGGAGAAATCCCTGCGAACCCCAGGGCAAGCTTCTCATATCCCGCTGCCTGTTCTTGGCTTTTCTGCCTGCCTCGCGAGTTGCACCTGGCTCCACGGTCCGGTAAAGTAGCATTTCTCAGCGTCGCATCTTGCCAACCTCCTGTCCTGGATGATCACAAGACAGAAACCCTGGAACCCAACCCCAGCTCAGGACTTTGAGGGAAGCCACCGCTGCTCTATAGGCCCTCCATAAAGCTCTGCCCGGAATCTGGCGACTTTAGGGGGGATGAGACCCCCTGCTTTGGCCCTTCAGCGAGGGAGATGGTGCAGCCCAAAGAGGGCAGACAGGCTCCAAGAAAGCCCTGCAGAAAACTAAGACCATCCCCCGCCGGCCCTGTCCCGTGTTCCTCCCCTCCTCCGGGTCATTCCCTGAGCCCAAAGTTCTCCCCCCAGCCCACTGAAGCCCGCTCTGGCCACCCGCTAGATTTAGGTCAGAAAACAGACATTACAACTCTCCCTCGCCTCACTGAAATTACTAAGTGGAATTTATTGGGCAAGTCCATGCAGGGCGGTGGGGAGAGTCCATGTCCCGGGCCCGGGCCCCGGACAGCTTCAGAAGCCCAGGTACCGGTCAGGGCTCCGGGCAAGGGGTGCCCGTAGCCTGGCTCCGCCAACCGCACCCCAAGAGCCGTGGCTTGTCCCCAGGGTTGCCGGACCGGCGGGGCCGCGCGGACTCCGTTCCCCAGCCGGCCCTTCGCTTTCACACGATCCGCGGTGACTGCACCAGCTCGAGCGCCTTTAAAGGGCCACACACGCCAGCCACCGCTATAAAAATGTTCCCGGCGGCACAGCTGCAGAAGGGGCACCGCTGAGCTGCCGAGAGAAGGCTCGCTCCGCCCGGCTGCCCTCTCGCAGCCTGTTGGCGAGGGGCTGAGGAGGAGGGCAGAGGAAGGCACAGCACCAGCTCGGGCCCTCCGTGAGTATCCAGTTCAGATTTTGTCACCAACTCGCCCACGAGCCAGGACATGTGCTAATAATGCCCTAAGCCGGTTATAAAGACGTGGAAATTGGGGGGAGAGAAAAAAAGGGGGAAAAAGGGTCTGTCCTTCCTGGGATTCCTAGCCGAGGCCAGTCTGCTGCCGTTTGCGTGTGCGTCAGGGCTCTCCGGGCGGCAATGGGGGCTTGAGAGCCGGGTCCCCCGCGCCGGGAAGGGAGCGCGGTGGCCGCCACCGCCACCGCCCCGGAGTCCGGCGCCGAAGCTGCGGGCGGGCGGCGGGCGGGCACGGGCTCGGGCCGGGGCTGCTTGGCGCGGCACGGTGCGGTGCGGCGGCGGCGCGGCGCGGCGGTGCGGGTTTTTCCCAGGCGCCCCGGGGTCGGGTGGCCACCGGCGCGGCCGCGGGCACTGAGCGCGACCGGCTCGCGGCGGCGGTGGCGGCGTGCGTGCCAGGGGCAGGGGGCTCCGCCGCTTCGCCCGCGGCTCACCAGGCTCCGCGCTTCCCTCTCTCCAGGGCAGGCGGCTTCGCCGAGGTAAGCCGGGCCGCCGGGCAGGGCGCTGGGCTGGGCAGCGGGGCCGAAGACTGCCGTGGAGCGGGCGTGGGGAGCGGGCGGCGGCCAGGCGGGCCAGGGGGTTCTGGGGGACTTGTTTTCTGTTGAAAGCTGCTCTTCTGGGGGCGAGGGGCTTCCGCCGCCCGCCCGCCAGAGCGCCGGTTCGCTGGCCAGCGCGCCCGCCTGCTGGCCCGCCCGGCCGGGCGCCCGCTTCTCCCGGGGAGACGGCAGCACCTTTTCTCCCCGCGCCCGCGCTTTCTCCAGCTTGGCTTCCACCGACTTTGCTAATCGCCCGGACCGCATCTGGACGCTCCGGCTCCGGTGCTGCACAAAGCTCAGGTTTCTTTCGGGGAATGGAGGCAAGAGGGGCTCTCGGGCCGAGTTCAGCGGAATTGCGGGATGGAAGTTAGCAAATTCGGGCAACTTGCCTCTACTACCCAGGCGACCTCCCCTCCCCTCCCCCCACACGCCCACACACGCCCCCTGCGCACACACCCCTCTCCCTATAAATGAGCGCGGCCGAGCAGCGCGCTGAGTCTCTGCCTCGCGGAGCGCCGGACTTGGAGTCAGACAGACCTGGCTGAGAATCTCGGCTCCGCCACTTTCTAGCGCTGTGACCTTGGGCAAGTTACCGCACCTCTCCGGGCCTCTCTCACTCTTCTCGTCGCGGGGTTGTAGCACTGACCGCGGGCGGCTTGGCTAGCGGGTAGGCTGAGGCTGCAGCCGCGTCGGGTGCTCCGCGGGCGCTCAGTAAGTGTTGGGGAGGCGCGGGAGTGGCCGCCGCCGGCTCCGGAGTACGCCCCCGAGCGCGGAAACACCCCGGGCCCCCAAACTCGCCGCCGAGGCCGAGACCCCGCGCGTCCCTTCCCGCCTGTCCGTCCTGTCTCTGCGATCAGTTCCTGATACAGCAGTTGCGGGAAAGGACGCTCGGGGCCCTGGTGGCCTGGGTGCTCGCGCCCACCGTGCAGGGATGCTCGCGGCCGACCCCAGCTCTGGAGGCTCCATCTGGGATGCGGCGAGGAGGACAGCCGAGCTGTCCGCAAACAACGGGCCTTTAGTTTTCAGGTGGCGAAACTGACCGGTCTGGTTAGAGCGCGTCCAAGCCAAGCCGCAGTGCTGTTTGGATTTTTAAATTTCTCCTTCTGAGTGAGAAAATAGCAATCGAGATGGAGCCATCCGGTTGGTGCCATTTTAACTTTTGGTCCCCCAACAGGTTAAAAGATGAGCTCCCCCCCACCTACCTCTCCCTTATCTTTTTCCTCTCCCCTTCCCACCCTCATCTAGGCGGGAGGGGGCTGCCCGCCCAAGGGCAAGTGTGAAGCTAAGAGCGGGCAGCGGGACCGGGAACTGGTGGCCAGGGACCCGCGAGGCACCAGCCGGCGAGGAGGCACTTGTTGCTCTGGGTTTCCCAGCCGCCTCTCGCAGCCGTTTCGCAGTGGTCAGCTCGCGGCTTGGAGAGCGGGCTGGGACGTTTCCGCGCGGCCGACTTTTGCCTTTGAATGGACTAGGGGGTGTAGGGGGAGGACAGAAAATTGGGGAAGCAAGTCCAGGGATACCAATCGAAATGTGATCGCCTCTTTAGGCGGATTTATCAACACTTACTGAGCGCCTATGGAGCACAGACCCAGGCGGCGGGGGTCAGGGCGGGTGGTCGGGCGGTGAAGGGAGGCGACAGATCTGAATGGAGACAAGGTCCCTCCTAGGGGAGCTCCTAGCCTGAAGCGGGGGAGACATGGTAAAATGGCCTTCCCCACAAGCTGTTATCGGAACAGAGATACTTTTTTCTCGATCTCTCCTTTTTTTTTCTTCTCTTCCTTTTTTCTCTTTCCGTTTTCTTGTTGTTATTGTTGTTGCTGTTGTTGTTTTCTTTTGTGCGTTCATGTACCGCGAGGCACAAAGGAGAGGGGCGGCTGGGTAAGAACGGGAAAAGATGGGCAGGGCCCCCCAGACGTTTTTCTTAGGACAGGAAAATTGCCTGATACTGATGGTACTAGGGCTCTCGAAGACGACATGCATTAGACTCCTTGTCTGCTGATCGCTTGCTTCAAATATTCTAGGGTTGTCTTAGAAGGAGCAGGGCTCCAATCAAGCAATGGAGCAGGACCTAGTAGCTGATTTCTTCCCCGTCATGGTTTTTCCCCTCCCCCTTTCTTTCTCTATTTTTCTTGCCTCCCTCCTCCAAGTAAGTGGTGCAACGATGGTACAGAAAGGTAGTAAGTGGCCACTTTCTAGAAGTTTCTGAGCAGATTCTTAATGATCACTCAGGTGGGGGGGGATCGTGGAGAATTCTAGTCTCCTTGGAAAGATTCGAGATTCTTCTTAAGGTCCTCAAGATTCTTTGGACTGGGGAGTATTTATAAGTATGAAATTCTATATCTCTAATTGATTATTAAGGCTAGAATATATGGGCTTTTTTT